AACACCCCCCCCCAGATGTCTGAAAGGAATTCCCCAGATTCCTGCGAGACAATGACCAACACAAAGCAGGGGGGTTCTCTCTGTCTCATACCTTGCTGCATATGTGAAGGCAATAGCCGAGGGACATTACTATTCTCAGAATGGGAGAATGTTAAGGTCTCGTAGAAGCAACATAGTCGAGGCATTCGTCCAGCTTCTGAAAAAAGGGATTGGCATTGTCCGAACGCACACTTATTTATTATTAATCAAACAATGAATGATGCAGATGCTCACCAAACAGAGTGCAAATTAATTCGCGCAGTCGCCTTCACCCGGCATGCATGCGCAAATCGACGCCCTTGACCTATTGGAGTCAAGACATCCTGTGGAATATCGGTACAGATTGGTTGAGTTTTGGAGTGTGTGTGTGTTACACCTGTTTACCTTTTAATTCTTCCTGGAGCTAAGACCATTTTCAAGTAAAAATGATGCAGAAAGCCGTGAAGATCCTGGGCGCAATCTCGATTTGCCTGGGGCTCATTTTTTTCTAACCTGTTTCGCAAACTGTCGTGTTGATTAGACCGACTAAATAAAAAAAAATATGATAGAAATGGGCACGAAGTTGGCGTGAAATGATCGCTTAATGGCAGATCGCCGCTGCGTATACTGGTTACCGTAAACAGTTGTTGAATATGCTTACTTTTTGTTTGGCTTGGCTTGGCCTAGCTTGGCCTGGCTTGGCCTGGCTTGGCTTGGCTTGCCTTAGCTGGGCTAGGCTAGATTTGATTTGGTTTTGTGGTTTGTTTTAATAAGCTTTTACAAACTCTATAAACTTGGATAAACTACCACATCACTAAAAACTGTCTCTTTTTAAGTGATAAGTTATCCGTTAGAAGACGTTGTTGCGTTCCTTGTGCAACGTAGACCACCATGCACGGCGCGGAAACAGTTTGAAGCCTAATTAAGTATACACCATCTGAACCGACATTCTGCATGTTCTCTTCGTGTAAATGTGCAGTGTGTATATTGGGTGTCTTTTAAAGAGGAAGCTGACACAAATTTGTTTGTTTCTTTAATTTCTTAATTACTTTGGTGAATAGTTACCATCATCGGTTCTGTTATGATGTCCTCTTTCGTATGACACCATGAAATTGCGTCACAAATGACTGAGCACTAAGTGGTTTAATGGACCAAGTCAGAAATGGCTTTGCGCCAAATTGTCTTTTGACGTTGAAATGGGCTGTCCAGAGATGGATTTTGTCAGAATTACATAATATTTGCAAAAACCTCCAAAATTCATATTCACAGTTCAAAACCACGTGACCAAGGACAAACGTTTGCACTGCATGTTTAAGGACAGTGGTGTTAGGCTATGGTAAGAATAAGCTTGAACTGTGGTTGCCTTTAAATTCAGGTTTTGGGTCGTGAACCTTGCTGTGCAAACCTATGATGCATCTGTTACAAAGACATTTCTGACACGGTCCATTAAACCACTTCGTGCTCAGTCATGTGTTGCGGAAATACGGTTCTCTTTGTGTCATACGAAAGAAGACGTCATACTAAACCTATGCTATATTTACCATGTACAAAAATAATAAGTCACTTTCAAGACACAGATTAATTAATCTCAATTTCCCTTAAGACAACCTGTATAACATTCTATTATTTTAAAGACAAATTTCCATTTATTTCGAAGTTTCATTTTTTGAAAAACGCACAGGAGTTTTGTGATGAAAGTGAACTTGATCTGTGAGTAATAATAACGCTGAAATATTTATTTGGGTAAATTCTGTCATCGATAGCACAAAATGTTCTCTTCGCATCTTTTGCTTAAATTTGTTTGCATAATATTTCCCGTGATTATTCGGCGGTTAATTATATCATATTCTCATTTGAAAGTGTAAAAGTAAAAAAAAATGCTCGTTTCATTTTGTATTTGTTCCAATTTGTTAAGTTATAACATATATTTATTGACAAAGTGTGGCTTAATTTTATCGTTTGTAATTTGATCTCCCTCTTTCATAATTGGCATTATTGTTTTATTTATCTTTACTGAATTTCGCAAAGAAAGAAGTAGTTACATTCAACTTTGCCAGTTGTGAGGTGACTTTTGTTCTGATGAACATAAAACAAGATGTATCAGTGTCGTAATTTGTAAATATTTTACGCGCGATTACAATTTAAGTTTCCAGTGAAAGAAAGTACACGGATATACAGGACACTGGTAAGGATGGATTGGGAGGTATGAATCCCGCACCCAAAAGTGACAAAATTTCGTCTCAAAAAGTTCCTTTCCAAAAGTAAGTGAAGAAAGCCCACAACTGTAGCCCCTTGGAAAGACCGTAAGAAGCAAAACAAAACATGTCACCTCCCCCCAAAAAAACATTTTTGTCCCCCTCAAAAATTTAGTTTTTGGTTCGTCTTTAAGACAAAGACATCTCCACCTCATAAAAAGTTAGTTTCTCTATGTCTCCTTAAACCCCTTCCCCCACTTTTTCCTTCAACTCCCCAAAGTATAAACAGTGTGCAGTATTTTTATTTAACCGTATCGTACAATTACCCTACGACCCCTGCTAGACTCTGCTGATGCATGGGCAATGCTTTTACAACCCTCCAGAGAATCAGACTTAACAACTATGCAAGTGCACTCTAGTCCGAAAAAGACTGACTTCCCCGACACTCTTCCCAGGGTGACCGTTTAAACCTACTTTCAGTTTAATTTTACAATCAAAAACGATGACAGATTGGGCACAGGGAATTTGTGTAGAGGTTATTCCGACGTCCTCTGGCGGAAATTTTAGCAGATTTGTTTCGAACAAGCTTTTTTCCAGGCTAACGGTTCAAACAAATGAATTATTAACGCTTCCAAAAGGAGAAAGTCGGGCCTGGCGAAGTGCTGACAGAATTCCCAGTTGTGACCCTGACGTTGCGTGAGTCAAGCTTTGCTTTGGGAACGGAGATTTTATGACGTGCTTTGCGGGCGTATCTTCCGCGTGTATCATGTTAAATTCCGTGAAATTAACAGATTTGATCTCGCAGAAGTTTGAAGTGAATTAATTTAGCATTGCCAGTGTCATTTCTCCCCTCCCTAGAGACCAAACTCATTTTTTCTCCTTTAAGTCGGGCTTAGTTACTGAACATAGACCGGAATCAAGAGGGAAGCACAGCAGGCAGTTAGTCATGACGAGTCCGTGTAAAATTTCGAAAGTGAGAAGCCCCACCTTACATAGACCGCCCAGGTTAATTATCAGAAAAGAAATTGTTGCGTAACAGGCCTTTCTAATGCAACAACAAGGGAAACATGCAGGAAAAGTAATTGCTGTTAACATTATACGATCTCTTAGTTTCCTTTTCTTGCAAAAACGTACACTTTTTAAACTTTTTTTAAAAAGCAGCAATTAAATCAAGGTTCTCGACGCTACAGTGCAACATGTCGCCAAAGAGTCCTCCAATACTGGTGTTCCCCGTATTGATTGGTCATGGCAAATGTTCAGTAAACCGTCACATTGCATTATATACATCATTACAAAGTTGGGCACCGTATTCAAATGGTGTAGCTGGTCACAGCGCCTTTTGCTACAGACCCTGAACGAAATCCTTCTTTTATATTGGACGAAGTTGTGTTGTAAAACAAAAATGGACTGCCACAATTTTGTCTGTCATAACAGATTTCATGCAAGTGACGGTGGGTTCTGTCTGACCCTTCACTCACAGTCTTTTGGGGCGCACAGACTGTCATATTAGACCTTTGGCAGTCCATATGCGAACGTTAAAACACGCCCCTCTCGCTGGCTTTTATTACTCTGATTGGTTGAAATACGGTTACGTGTTATTCACTGTTAAGGGCTAGAATCCTGGCCAAATCTCGTTGGGCCCCGGTCCCCCTCTCACGATATGCAGCCTGCGCCCCAGCTCGAGATGGCAACATTGAGCAAGAGATTGGAGGACCTGGAGAAGGTAACTACTGATACATGTCCCAACAATTTCAGCCATGATTGTATAGAACATCATCATTTTGATGTATGGTGTGGACTGGTGATCAAGTCGCTGAGAATACTGCGCTCGGGAACGCGGCGGATGTTATGCTGATTAGAAGTACCTCACTTTCCACGTCCTGACTTATATCATGTAGTACTCATTGTACTTATTACCTGTCGCGGATTTTTTATCACTGTAATGAATAACGAACAGGCTGGCACTGCAAATACAGTGTATCTGCCAATTCAACGGTACTTAAGTCATGATTCGTAACGGTTACAATGTGACATCTTATATCTTTATACCGCAGGGCCTTGACCTTGAGGATTAAGCCTTGGTCTTTATCTTCAGGCTTAAGTTGGAGGTCAAAGTCTTGGCCTTGAGATCAAAACCCTTGCTCCAACCCTGGCTTGTACTCAGGCTAACAAAAGTATTTAAAATGGCATCAAGGATGACGTAATCATATGATCGATAAATATAGTGTGAATATTCACTGACAACCCATCTTCCATCTTTATCTGTGTCTGACCATTCACGTACAAACACCATTGCTGGTTGTCGCATACGTTTATATCAGAGTTACATTTTGACATTCTGAATTTGCGCGTTTTAGTGAGAGCTGAGGATAGCTGCAGTCACTTTGTTTTAATTCAAACCTTCAAAAATGTATTATTTTGGAAGGG